TACCTATAGAGTATTGCGGCCAAACACCATGACCCCGGACAAGTTTTAAGGCTTGGGACTCTTTGTTATAGAGACGGTGCTCCTATTACCTGGAACCTTGTGTTTGTCCGGGCGAGAAACTGAAGGCCGACTCCAGGTTCGACATCTCCAACTACAGAGGGTTTAGGGTTTTTTTTGGCACCCGACTAGCCACAGCAATGCGGGGGTTTAGGGTTTAGGGTTTAGGGTTTGGGGTTTTGGGGTTTTGGGGTTCAGGGTTTAGGGTTTGGGGGGGAAATTTACTTCGGGGTGGTGTAAGTTCTGGGCACGGGCACGTTGACCAACCCTGTATCACGCATCTCGACCCGAAACCCTTTTTTCCAACCGATTGGGGGTTCTAAACCCCTACCTGAGTGCTGCAACCTTATACGCACTCAGGCTTACTCTTCCAACCGCCCACTCCAGCGGGCGTAGACTTAGGGCTTAACAATGCTACCGACACCAGCCTCCACAACACCCCCATCGCCCTGCTGGGAGGTTCATGGGTTCTTAGAAGTAGGGTTCTAAGTAAGGTTAAAAGCCTATTTCCCTACTTGCAACCCTACTTATACAAGCCCCCCCCCCCCCCCAAAAAAAAAAAAACTAAACCCGAAACCTTAACCCCTAAACCATAGACACTACTTGTAAGTACCCACATGAACCTCCAAGTAAGCCCTGAATCCTAAACCCTAACAAGCACCACATTCAGGAGCTCTTGGGGTGCAAACCCTAAACCCTAAACCCTAAACCCTAAACCCTAAACCCTAAACCCTAAACCCTAAACCCTAAAGCCCCGAACTTGGGACCCTAGACCCCTGAACCCGAAACCGCCTGAACCCCGACCTCTCTGAGGTGCCGGCACTGGACCCCCTCAACCCTAAACCCTAAATCCTAAAGCCTACACCCTAAACCCTAAACCCCAACCCCTAACCCCTAAACCCTAAACCCTAAACCCTAAACCCTAAACCTCTAAACCCCTAAACCCTAACCCCCAAATTTAGTGGTTTAAGGACTTTCTTTTTTGCCACCCGAGGAGCCGGCTGGCTTTATGTAGAGGAGGGAACTCGTGGTTCAGGGTTTCTGCATGACTACTACTTGAAGGTTCATGGTACTTAGTAGCTAAAAACAACTGTACTTATAACTGTACTTATAACCACATTAGGGCACTTAAGGGGCTTGTAAGTGGGTCATAAGTACAGTTATAGTTAGTTACTAAGTACCATGAACCTCCAAGTACTACTATGACTACCATGACTACTTTGACTACTAGTACAACTATTATCATTCATATTTCGCTTGCTTCTACTACTATGCACTTCCTTCTATGATTTTTACCCGTGCAACCATTATGGCTGTCATAACCCATAGGCTCAACATAGCCCAAAAACCTTATATAAGGAGGCCTTTTGGCCCAAACCCTAGAATCAGAGGCCTTAGAGCCTTAGGGTATTGATTATCATAAAACCCTAAGGGTCCATGTACCTTATTATTATATACTTAGACCCAAAAATCCTTATATAGGAAGTACTTTAAGGCCCAAGTATTCCCTATTTAGATACATGGACCCTTAGGGAAACATCCCCCCTCCCTGGCGCCGTCAGAAATGCGGCGCTCGGCGCCAGCGGACAGGCGGCGCGCCTTGCTACCGCGATGCAGCCTGGAGCAGTTAGAAAGCTAAACTCTACAGGGTGGGGCCCCCTAGTTATAAGTAGAGTTATAAGGGCCCTAAATTGGGTTATAAGGACGCTAAGTTAGGTTATAAGTCCCTTAACTACAGTTAGTATAGTAAGGGGGCCCCACCCTGTAAAACCTTCAAACCCAAACCCTAACCCTTTAAGGGTCTCAGGGTCTTAGGGTTTTGGGTTTAGGAGGCTCCAAATCCACCGGAGCATTGGGGGCCCAGAGCCCTGTGTAGGAGGGTCCTGTTGAGCCGATAGCTCGGCTCTACAGTAGGGCTTTTGTTCTGGCTGTCAGTTCCAAACATATAGTCTCTTAGTGGTTTTGAAGGCCCCGGTTTTGAGGGAAAAGGGGTCCGGCCAACATTTCCTATACTAGAGAAGGGCTTCATAGTCGTATGTGTGGAGTGGTACTGCCCCGAAGTAAACGAAACCTGGGGTACAAGCCTATGTTTGGAAACCCAAACGGTCTCCGAAAGCCCAAAAAAATGCAGTTTGGTAGCCGAAGAGGGACATCCAGCTCGGAGTTGTGAGTGATATCCTGGAGTGTAGGGTATAAACTTGCTGTTTAGATCTTGCTGAGGTTTTAGGGGCCTTTAGGGGATTTTGAGGTTTAGGGCCTTTAGAGGATTTGGCGTATGGGCTGCCCGCACGCTTCCTTGAACCCTGCGGTTCGCCTAAAGGAAATATTTTGCTTGAGCCCGGCGCCTTTGACAGAGCCGTTCATTTAGAGGCTTTCGAGCTACCTCAGCCTAGACTCTGTGATCTGAAGGGTATGCGTGTCTTGGGGAGGCGTTCAGAAGCCAAAGCAAGCCGCCTATGTGATCTGTGCACCACCTCCCCTGTTTTCTTGCCGAACTGAGAGAGTTCGGCGCTAGCACCATGCTGTAGAGCCAGAACGTGAGGATGACATAAAAACACTGTTGGCGGGGTTCAGTAGCGATCTTACAGGGAAACCTTGCTTCCTTTTGACGGGCCGAGCCGCAGCGCGTCAATGGACGCAAGGCACCAGAGCAGTGGCTCCCCAGCGCATCCCAGCTGAAGGGCCTCAGGTGAGGAAGCTTAGGTTTAGGGTTTGGGGTTTGGGGTTTCGGGTTTAGGGTTTAAGGTTTAGGGTTTAGGGTTTCGCCACCTAGGGTTTAGGGTTTAGGGTTTGGGGTTTGGGGTTTGGGGTTTGGGGTTTTGGGGTTTAGGGCTACTTGGAGGTTCATGTGGGTACTTACAAGAAGGGGTTTGAACCAGGATCACAATGTAGTTCTAACCACATTTAGGCCACTTATATCCCTACGTATGCCTACCCATGAACCTTCTAGTACGCTCTTACTCAACACGAAACGCTCAACGTAGGATTCTTTGGTAGGGATGATCCTGCTGTGGCTTGGTAGCCCAGTTTCCATATTCTTATGAGGGCACCCTTTTTTCGGCTGGTTGCTTTATAAGGGACCTTGAACCAAAAAGGGGAAAAAAGGTACCACTGGGCTACCCTAAGCCCTAAAGCCTACACCCTAAACCCTAAACCCTAAACCCTAAGGCCTAAACTAAGAACCAGGGCGTCTCTGGCAAGGTGCGGCATCATCTGCATATGCTGCTGCTACTATCGGGCCGAGGAGTGCGGCAAACCTCGGTTTAGGTTTAGGGTTCATCGGGTTTAGGGTTTAGGGAGATTTAGGGTTTAGGGTTTAGGGTTTAGGGTTTAGGGTTTAGGGTTTAGGGCGTCCGACTCTCAGGCTCGCGTGCAGCAGGAAAGGCTTCAAGTTTCAGGGTTTAGGGTTTCTAACCAAACTCTCCCTCAAGAAGAGTCAAAGAAAGGTCTTGGGTAGGGCATCTTAATCCGAGCTCGGATTATGTCAGACTTCTGGACGTTTCGAGGGCCCAGTGGATTCGGGGTTCGCTGGTTTAGAAGTCGGCCCTATGCCCCCGCTCACATGTTCGATGGCCATTTTGCAGCTGAACCGTGGCGACCAAGAGCACGTGTGGGTGCTGGTGTTGGTGCTTGCTTATTTCTGTTGCGGTGTGTTTGGCTTCTGCCCTCGCCCCCTGTTAGACAATATACACCTGGCCAACTGAACAAAGCACCCCTATGTACCTGGTACTCTATTTACCGACACTTTAGCAGTACCTACCCCTTAATTCGTAGGCATAACCCCATTAAACCGTAGGTAAAGAGAGTCCCAGGTTAAGCTTTTCGCATGAATACCGAGGCGCAGCACACCTCCGCGGCCGCCCTGGGAGCAGTGGCCGCGGCGGCGCAGCGTTGTCACCACCTCGCGCTTGCTTGGAAGGTCTCATCTGCCCAGCTTACATGGAGGTTCATGGGTACCTGTAACCCCTATGGTAAGCTTCCTACTATAACCTATACTATAGGTACACCCCGCCTCCAAGTATGGTATAGAGGCGCGAGGGCCTTCTAAGAGCGTCATCACGAGTTCTGCAGTCTGCCGCGCGACTCAAGATTATGCTTGCGACGCCCTGTGCTCAAGGGCCTGCAGCGTTCAACGCACGAAGTCCAGCACGAGATCTCGGCCCTCTCGGCACCCCGTACCCCAAGGCGACCCTCCCACAGAGGGACCAGTGACTAGAAGTCTGGGGTCTAAGCCCTCGACAGCCGAGTTCTGCAGCAACCGACAGAACCTAGCGACTACAAGCATGCGTGCACAGAGGCGAACCACTTTGAAGCTGGACTTGTCTGTCAGAAACAAGGACCCCAACACCCCCAAAACAGCCTTTGCCCTACTATGGAGTAGGCCCTCTGGACAAAAAAAAAAAAACAAAAAACGTATTGACGTATAGTACCCCCAAAACAGCCCTTGCTGCCGTGGCACCGCGCCGGCAACGACCACCGCCCCGAGGCAAACAGGTCCTAAAGGGCTGAAAAATAGGTGGGGGGAGGAGGGGTCAGGGTTTAGGGTTTAGGGTTTAGGGTTTAGGGTTTAGGGATTCGGAGTTAGGGTTTCGGGGGTGGCCGCCAAACAAGCCAAACAAAATTCGCCAAGCCAAAGCCTCGGAAGCACGATGCTTACAAAGAATCGGGGCTTGCAGGCTTATAAGGTTTTGGGCGAGGGTGTAGATACGGTTGTAGGGTTTAGGGTGTACATGCTCGTCTTTTTCTTGAACCCATATGTGACATGCCTTAATCCAGAAGCCTTCAACCGAACACCGGCCTGATCCTTGGGGAGTTTTCGCATCGGGTACGGCAAGGAGGTCACCGCAACTTTGGCGGGACTTCCGAGTCGGATGGAGCTTCTACCCTAAACCCTAAACCCTGAACCCTAAACCCTCAACCCTAAACCCTTGCGGGGGGGCAAGTTAGACTTTACTTGGAGGCTGAAGCGGCTGCAGTGGCTGCTGCCCCTTTCCGCGCTCCACAATGGCAGCCCCTGCGAGTACGACGACGCCACCCAGGATCACGGTCCGCGAGAGCTCCTCTATACTGAACTTGGAACCCAAGCAAAACTTCAAAAAACACAAAGAAGTGTTTCTTAGGAAATATAGTGCCCAAAAATGAAACATATTTCCAAGTACCCCTAAGTCCTCATTCAAATAGCCGACGGAAATGGCAGCGACACAAACCGTGTTCAGCTTCCCGATGATCTGCTGGGAGCTTGCCCCGAGCTCCTTGAGCGCCACAAGGCCCAGAAAGTTCAGGGAAACCGCGCTCACACAAGTCAGGAAGATGAGGGCGCCAGAGCCCCAAGTCAGATCTGCCGCGGCTTGGAAGAAGCTCTCTGTGCAGGCTGTATACAGGAAGGCGATCAGCACGCACCAGGGCGCTTGTAGGGAATAGAGCTGCATAGGGCTCAGTGGGGCTTCCTTCTGCTCCGGCTGAGAGGAATAGACGGAATACTCGCCAGGCGCAAGCAACACGTCCATCACCACGATCCTGGGTCTCGTTTCTGGGGGCTACGCTCCTGCTTAGAACCTAAGTATATGACAAACATATGAAATCAAATAGAACCTAGGATGCTCTTGACTATATACTTAAAAACAGCACCCAGGGAGAGGGGGAGAGTTTTTTCAGTCACTGACGGGGAGAGGGGGGGGGGGGGGGGGGGGGGGGGGGGGGGGGGGGGGGGGAGTCTTTATTCAGGGACCTAATTATGGGGCCCTTAGAATTTCTAGCAACCTCAATACTAGGTCCCTGGAAGGATAGGGTTCGGTTACTAGAATCTTTAAGGACACTACAGCTAAGTCCCTGGAAGTCTACTTGGGGTTTTGGAGGTTCAGGATATATAATGGGGCTAGAAGTGCCCATGAACCTCCAAGTAAGGCAACATTTTCCTCACTTTGACCTGGGATCTTCATCGTTCGAGTTCCGACAGCGGCCAGCGCAAAGAGGATGCCTAGGAAAGTCTTCTCGGGAGCAGAGGCCGTCTGGATGGAGGTCGCCTCACCTGCCCGGGGACCAGACAAGGCCCCGAAGTTTAGGTTTAGGGTCTGTAGGGTTTGTAGGGTTTCTTGCACCTATAGTCGCCCAAAGTTAAATTCCCAGCAGCCAGCAGACCCCTCGCGGGCATCGATGCCGTAAATACCCAGCAACTCAACCAAGGGAGAAAGAGCAAAGAAACCAAGATCGACGCACGAATTCACTTGAAGAGGCAATCAAACAAGGGGCATGCAGACCAACCCTAGGAACGTTCAAGCAAGCCTCTTACTGGCCCAAAACCCAAGGAAGTAAAAGTTGAAACTTTCAGAATAAACTACCTTATAAGAAGCCCAAAAGTTGAAAAGTTGGGTTCTGAGCCAGTAAGGCCTGTTCTTTCCACAGAGCGAAGGCCTCCCCCCGCCCTCCTTCCAGACGAACTCAAGCGACAAAGTCAACCGCCTCAAACACCACAGCCCTTTGCTTTTTCTAGTTCATTGTTGGGATAATAATAAAAATTAAAAATGTCATTCCTTATTGGGGTTAAGTACCCTTAAAAATGTAAAATGGTACCCAACTATGACTGAGTTTTGGTGGGGTTTTAAGGTTGAAGACGAAAGGGCCCTCTAGCAACCCTCAATGGGGACCGTGGGCTCTTACACCAAATTATACCCTGTAGTCAAGAAAGGCCGTGAACACAGGGTTTTGGTTGCAGGGATTTCGAGGCCCAACAGCCCATCCTGGTTGCCTCCTGCAAGCACCAGCGCCCCAAGGAAAGCCACGAGAATGCCCATCCAAGACATCTTGGAGAGCTTGCGTCCACATGCGAAGGACATCAAAGCCACACTTACAGGTGACAAGGTGCCAAGAATGGCACCTTAGTTGCTGAGTTCATTAGCCCCAAAAAAGGTGTACACTTTCAGTTCTATAGGGGACTATTAGTATCCCGAACAATGTAATCATGCACCCATTCAGCTACTAAGGCACAAATGGCGGCCCCAGCGTAGACCAGGGCAGTATTGTTGAAGACCACGGTCAGCGGGAGGCTCAATGCAATGGGGAAGATCTTGCCTGTACTCCCCTTAGAACCTTAATAAAAATGTTATTTTAATCTCCTCGTGGGGTTACATGAACAAAAAATAATAAATAAATCCCCAGGGGGATATAGTTGCGAACGAACCAGGCGGTCGTCCGCGTTTCGCTGGAGGCGGCTGCGTTCCCCCGGCCAACAACAAGCCGATGCGCCAAGCAGGTGAGCCACACCTTCAGGACGAAGTGAACCCTCAATTGCAGCTCATATAAAGTCTGTGCAAGTACCCTTCTAAGGGACAGCGCCATGTGCACCTTTTTCTTGGGCTAGTTTAATCCCCAAGGCACGCAGAACAGGTGAAGGGTCGTCACGGCTCCCGGATGCCTGTAAAAAGCGCCCAGTGCGCTCATCAGGATCTGAGTGCTCGCGCAACTGGCCACAAACAAGCACGCAGCCGCCACCACATAACCTTGGCTCACTGTTCGCCTAAACCCTGAACCCTATAAACCCCAAACCCCAAACCCCAAACCCCAAACCCTAAACCCTAAACCCAAAGCCTAAATCCTAAACCCTTTTGCATCCGGCCCTACGCGACAGGAAACACCCCAAGCCATAAATCCAGGCACAGCAGAGGCTCTAAAGTGTCAAGACATCACCATCACTTCGTGTGTTTAGGGTTTAGGGTTTAGGGTTTAGGGTTTAGGGTTTAGGGTTTAGGGTTTAGGGTTTAGGGTTTAGGGTGTAGGGTGTAGGGTGTAGGGTGTAGGGTGGGCGGCCGGGGAGCGACCACGGTGTCGGAGTATGACACAAATTGCAGCAAAGACCAAGCCGCTGATCACTGCGGAAGCGCATCGGTTCACATCTGCCAACATGGCCGACATGTTAAGCGGAAGCATGGCCAAAACCTGGGTACCCCTCAAACCTCATCGAGGAAGAGCAGGGAGGGTTTTAGGGTCCTTCGTCACAAAGTTCCATGCGCAAGGTCCCCGCTGAAGGGCTTAATTTCGGGTTTGGGGTTCAGGGCGTAACCTACTTTGGAATATCCATGCGCGAAACAGAGCATAAGAACCGAAGCCAAATGGCTACAGCTGTTGAAAGTAGGGGCCCCTTTCCTGACAGGGTCCTTGCATCAGGGGCCAGACATAGACATAGAGGATCAAGAACCAGGCTAAGCTGGTTACTTCTCTGAATGATGGTCCCTTTTGGGAGTCACTGTTCTAAGGCGGCCCCTGATATTTAGGTATTTAGGGTGCCCAACAAGGCACCATCGTTTGAGAACTGGGACCTCGTTCCTTCAACCGTAAAACCGAAATTGCACCAGATCGGAGCTCCACAAGCCCTCATCCCTTTTGAAACGGGACTTGAACCCACAACCCTATAACCCCTACAACCTTTACAAACCCTATAAACCCATAACCCCTTTAAACCCTTTTTAAAGCCTGTTAAAATTAAACCAACAAGCACCGTAAACCCCTAGACCCTACAAACCCTAAGCCCCGGCTGAGCTCCAATTAAGGCCATCTGCTTAAGAACCCCAAAAGAATCAAAAGACAACCATCCCTCTACTACCCTTGAAAAGGAAGAATTGTCTTTTGTTTTTTCGGGGTTCTTAGTTAGTAGATTAAGGCCAGGCTCGAGATGGCAGGGCGCCCATCGAAGCTAAGGCCAGCCTGGGCTGGTTTCGGCTTTTTTCCATCGCAGGGATGATGACGAGGAAACCAGGTGGCTTCGGGTTTGGGGTGGGTTTAGGGTTTAGGGTTTAGGGTTGAGGGTTGAGGGTTTAGGGTTTCAGATTCCGGGCATTGGGTTTCGCATGCTTGGGTTGCTTAGGGTGCTTTGGGGTTCTGAGGGTGCAGGGCTTGTGTCTAGGCTGAGAAGACACTTTGAGCCGTCAGTGTGGTTCATCATGTCTCCTTTGATGGGGGTGATGGTGGTAGGGTATATGATGTTAAGTGGTAAGTTTCGGGATCGTCGCCAAGGAAGAGACGCAGGGCTCTTCACCAGCCTCTGGCCTTAGGGTTTCGCAAGGGGCTTAAGACCTCTCACGGATGGAGCAAGCGAGACCTATGATGCCCCGGCCCTGATGTGGGTTTTAGTGCTTAGGGCTTCAAAACCTCATAGATAAAGTGTGTTAGGGTTTAGGGTTTAGGCCAAGACCCGCCCCACACCAAAGGCAGACACAGCAGCAGATCTTCTGCCAACATCAGGCTGGTCGGCCCAGCGTCGGCGTCCAGCGACATGCCCAGTGCTTTATAGGGTTTCAGGGTTCAGGGTTCAGGGTTTAGGGCTTAGGGTTTCAGAAAGCCCAGATCTTCGAAAACCGCTTAACTAAGGAATTTACCCTAATCTACACTGGGGATCCTTACTATGCATCAGGGTATTTTGCATGAGTAAGGATCTATACTAAGGATCCTTATTGAGTATTATGCACTGGGGTATATTCCTTAACTAAGGGGTTTTGGAAGATCGGGGAGGCTTTTGAAGGTTCGTTTTGGGACGTTTTGGGACTTCTGAACAAACTGGCTCTGCTTACTTGTGTGTCGCAGGGCCTTGGTTGAAGTGGTTGGGTCAGGCGTCTGTCTGCGGAGTCTTCCAGAATCTTGGCCTACGGCCTATAGAGTTTCAGAACCGAAAGGGGATTGCAAGGTGTTGGGTATCAGGTTATCTCGCAGGGTGTAAGGTGGCGGCATGACTCTGACTAAGATTGTGCGTGCAGTCTCCGGGAGGAGTCCTGTGGTTAAGAGACTAGCTCCACGTAGCTGCTTCCTTGATCCAAGGCATTCGAACCATTGCAACTTAAGGCGATTACTTGATGGTCTGAGAGGTTCCGAGTCACCCTAAACCCTAAACCCTAAACCCCAAACCCCATCCAAGGCCTCGGGTCCTGAGGATGAAGTTCTAAAGACAAACCTGCACTGCCCAACTGGGCCTATGCTTTCGGTAAAAGCCTCCGCACATCTCCCCGCCCCCTCCCAACAAGCAACTACTTGGAGGTTCGTGGTACTTAGTAACTAACTATAACTGAACTTTTAACCCACTTACAAGCCCCTTAGGTGCCCTAATGTGGTTCTAAGTACAGTTATAAGTACAGTTATATTTAGCTACTAAGTACCATGAACCTTCAAGTAAGGTTTAGGGTTTAGGGTTTAGGGTCTAGGGTTTAGGGTTTAGGGTCTAGGGTTAAAGCTGTCAACCGAAAAAACAACGCCCCAAGCTTCCTGCAACGCCCAATCCCAAAGCCTCGTGCGCCCGCAAGCCTTTAACCCAATCGTGCCGAACACCCAAACCCTACACCCCAAAACCCTCAGCCCTAGACACCCCAAACCCCAAACCCACAGCCCTATACACCCCAAACCCTCAGCCCCACAGACCAAAAATCCCAAACCCTCAGCCCCATGAACCTCAAAGCAACCCTCAGCCAAATACACCCTTAAACCCTACTGGGGCCAGTTCCTGCTCTCAGGCGTGTTCGGATCTAACCTCCGCACCTGGGAGCACTCCCCTTTTCGGAAGCATTTTTTGGAATCTTGACTTTACTGAACACTCTAAAATCAACCCTGTTCGTCCTAAAAGCTTGAAGAAACCCTTCACTAAACACTCTGAGCCCTGAACCTGCTCGGACCACAACCCGCGTGTGTGGGCGGGGGGTGGGGGGGGGTTGGGGGTGGTTGGGCGGGGGGGGGGGGGGGGGGGGGGGGGGGGGGGGGGGGGGGGGGGGGGGGGGGGGGGGGGATTTAGGTCCTACGCCCCCCCTCCACGTGTACTGGTAAAGCGCGAGGAGTTGATCGAATGAAGCCTCGAACATGAACTTGGTGGGTTTGAAAGGATCTTCATGCAAAGGTTAAAGAGCGTTTCCAAAATCACAAAATGATTTCTGTTGTGTGTCGGTTCCCGGCCCGTTAGGCATGTTACTCTAGTGGAAGAAGAAGAAGAAGGAGGCGTTGGGTTGTACAGGTATCCGTAAACCCTAAACCCTAAACCCTGTACTGCTCCGGATCCTTAAGACGCAAGATTTGGCCTTGAGCCCTGGGAAAAGGCCTCGTCGACACCCTGATCTGGCGCGAAGAAGCTTCCTTGCGCCCGGTTGAGGCTCTTGGTGGGTGTAGCTTAAGGTATTTTAGGGTTAGGGTTTAGGGTTCAGGGCTCAGGGCTACTCGGATGCGCATGGGTACTTATACGTGGGGTTCTAAGTAGGGTGACTATGCTTGTCACCTTACTTATAGGGTCCTTTGGTGTTTTGCGGCAGTGATCCTGGGGCCCAGGGGATTTCTGTGGCATAAGGGAGTTTTGAGGGGATTGGGCGATTCGAAAACAAAAACATGTTCGAGTGAACTTCCGGGAAAGAGGGGCGAAAGAGAGGGAAGTCCAGACTGCGACACCTCATGACCCTGAATGCGTAGAAGCACCCCGACTCTTAACGGTGCCTCGAAACCCAAAACCCAAAACCCCAAACCAGAAGAGCTCCGAATCTCCAAAAGCAACGCAGCGGGTGAGGGGGCATGGAGATGTCGGGATACATCCTTTTCCGTACCCTGAATGTGGGAAAACAAAGCCACCTAGTAGGCTACGTTTACTGCACTAAATAGGGCTCCTTTCAATTGCAAACTCTGAACCCCCTAAGTTGGGATGTTTCCCGTTCTACTAAAAAACCCTTAATGGGGATTATCGTACCCCTACTACAATCCCTGTGAACCCTAAACCCTGAACCCCACACCCTAAACCCTACGAACCCTATTTGAAACACAAGCCCCAGCGCTCCTGTGGCGGTGGCCGCTACATCTGGGAACCTGCCACCAGCGCACTTGCTCCACATATCCCTGGGGTTTAGGTTAGGGCTTAGGGTTTAGGGTCTAGGGTCTAGGGTCTAGGGTTAGGGTTTAGGGTTTAGGGTTTAGGGAGTAGGCAGTAGGGTTTAGGGTTTAGGGTTTAGGGTTTATAGGGTTTAGGGCTTAGCTTCCGGCTGGCAATGCGAGTTTCACTTACGAGGCTTGGGGCTCAGGGCTTGTAAGAAGCTTCTTGGCGGTTTAGAGTTTAGGGTTTAGGGTGAAAAGGGGTTTAGGGTTTAGGGTTTAGGGTTAAAAAGGGCTTGAAGGGTTTAGAGTTTGTTTGGGGCTCTAAAGTCCCTAAGCTTTTGCTGATTGGCCCTTTTGTGCTTGGAGGGACTTGGCAGCATACGAGCTGAAGGGTTTAGGGCTTAGGGCTTAGGGCTTAGGGCTTAGGGTTTAGGGTTTCTACTGAAGCCAACAAGTCACGATATCCACGACGTGACCAACCCTAAGCAGTCCTCTCAGAGGTTTACAGGCCACAATTGGTGCGAGGAATGCCCCAGCTGCATGTATCCGCGGGAATCTCTTAAACCCTTTTTTGCAACAGGCCTCGTGATGCAGCAGCCCGGTAACAGCAGACCACTCACAATAGCGCGAGTAGTGATGCCGCAATCTCTCGAGAAACTAGAATTGAAATGGCACGTGCTGAGCATTCTGTCTGGCCTGTCGTCGCGCTTGTCTCAACATCAATTTTTGCTCCTGTCGCTCTCTCCTCAAAGTTTCAAGGTCTGTCTCTACGTCAGAAACTCGGTGATTCGAAGGTCTGATTGACAAAGAGGGGAAATCGCAGGTTGCACGGCTGGCAGATGAAGATTCCAGATGCGGATGCCCTAATGCTAGAGGCAAAGCAGTTGTTGTGGGACAAGTTGCATCAAGCTCTGACTGGCGCAGCCCCGCACGCAGCTCCCGAACCAGCTGCGCCTGTTCCAGCATCTGCTGTCCCATCTCGTTCATTTTGTCCATATACTGTGACTGAATAGCCTCCATGTTGTGCGTAAACTGTGATTGAACCTCCTTTACAACATCCTCCACAATGCGCTCACACATCCCCCGTGAGATCATTTCCGCAT